ATTTCCTAATTCTTTTTTTTCTTACTTAATATGGATTATTTCTTTAGTTTTTCTTGATAGCCTTTCAATTAACCCTTATTTTAATTTGGTGCAATTCTGAGTATGAGAAAAAGAGAAAAACGTAATGAAGTTATTAGCCCAATGTATGTTGATATGCATTTGAAGATTAAAACCTTTTGTTGAAGACCTATGAAGAAGTTGTCAGCAATGTTGTTTTATTTTATCTTTATATATATATATATATATTTTAAATTGTGGTTAAGCCTGGATAAGGATAAGTTGACTTATAAGATATGAGATAGGTTTATTGTAAATGTTAAATTAACTAGGTTAATAATACGTTTTACTAAGATAGTTTTGGAAGAATTAGGTCTTCAGGTCAGAAAAAATGGGTTGTGATTTGATCGCTATGTCATTCAGACAACTATAAAAACAAGATGAAGTCAGATGTTATTCGCCCTGTTTTAGTTGTTTGGGTTGATGGACTCATGAAAGGTAGTATATATTTTGGGGTTTAGAACATATATTGATTTTTTTAAGGGGAGGGGAAAGGACAGGAGGGGTGGGGATGCTAACTTATGTTCAAAAGTGTATAACATGAAGTTTATGGGCCAGTGCCGCCCAACTCCACATAAAAAATAAAAAAGAAAAAAAGAAAACAAAAGGGGTAATTATTGGCTTTACATAGCAAAAAATGTATAAGCGGGGTTTAGAAAATTAAGGGAAGAGAGAGAAAAAAAGAGAGAGAAAGAGAAAAGAGCATTATATATTCATGGCTCAACCACTAACTTACATTTGTTTGGCTTGTAAGGACTTTGACTACTAAGGAGAACATTACCTAGTAAATTACTTATGCGCCAAGAAAGTAGACCTAAATTCATAAATGCTTCTAAATATAGAGTACGTTACATCTGACTAGACGTTTTGAGTGCACAAGAATTAAAGAAATTACTCTTCTACTTTTTAATATTAAAAAACACTGTAAAAAGGCATAAATTCTAATTTGCTAAAGCTAAAGTTAAACAATTGATAATAATGAAACTTGTTTGTCTGTGGCTACATCGAGGTCTTAGTAGAAGCATATACATTATTATTCTTTAAATAAATAAGTCATGACATGAAACTTTCTTAAAATCTTAATTAACATGGTATTAGGATTTAGGGGCAGGATTGGGGTCACAAATATAATAAGCTAGCTTTATTTGACTAGCAAGAAACTATCAAGGGGCAATCCTGATAGGTTATCAAATATGCAGCATAAGAAGGCTATAACATCGCTTGCTAAGAGTTTTAATTAGAGACTTCTAAACATGTTAAAAGCAAATCAATCAAGCAAAATTGAAAGACTTGCCTTTTGTTGAGGATATGTGGTGTATGCAGTAAATAATGGCTATTGCCTTTTGAATACTTCTAACATCTGATATATGCATTGTCTTTAAATTGGAATGGTAGACGCTAGTTTTGTTGAAAAGATACAATGAACCCTCTTAATTTAGCTTTGAGATAAAAATTCTTATCCAATGCAAACATTTTAATTAATAATAAATAAAGATCAACCAACACATTGATTTGAAATGGACTCAACTGAAGAACTTCTGTTATATTGTAAACAGATCTTTTTTGTTGATGAATTCTTCAAAAATTACAGGAAAATTATTTCATATGCTCTCAGTAGAGTGTTGGTAACTTAAATTAGAAAAGGAAAAAATAACTTAACCAGTATATTGGTTATTGTTATTGGTGAAAATAGACAGATAAACTATTGGAATCACTTATCATCCTTTAAGTTTAGTAAATTCTGTAAAGCTGGAATATTGTCTGCTTATTTCTTTAGTTTAATAGACATTTTTTCCCTAGTTATCCTTGACTCACTGTGCTTTTGAACAAAGAATTTTCTTTCCTCTAATGGGCATAATTTTGATCATTAGAATTCAAAATTTATGGCATTATTTCAAAGTGCAACTAGATGTACTGCATTAGTTGACTAGGCAATCATGTGGGCTACATACTGCTTGTTGTATCCCTTCATTTGGTTGTGCTCACTTAGAGCAGCAAATATCCTTTGCAAGGAGATTCCCAATGATTTTAATGAACACAACAAATTGATATTGAAAAAAATTTTATTCAGTCATTTTTCATGCATTTCTCAAAAAATTTGGGTTGTGTATCTGTGAATTTTTTTCCCTTTCTTTATTTTGATTAAATTATTCCTGATTATATTTATCACTTTAGGAATTACTTGAATTAGGGGAGACTCTTAGAACTCAAAGTTGAGGTCTCTCCCAAGAACATATTTCGTTGCTCCAAGTTTCAAAATACAAATGCAGCTTATTCTCAAAGAAGAAATCAAGGAATGAGAGGTACTGCTTGTGCTTCACTTTGCCTCTACTAAATTTGATTTGCTTTATCTGCTGCAGGTTATTTTCTTCAACAAAATTTAAATTGAAATACACAACCCTAGTCTTCTTTGTGGTGTTCTTGATGTATAATTTTACTGGCTTGCAAGGTCTTGTATACAATTATTGTAAATCTATCCAGATTTAAGATTTGCCCTTGATTTCCACTTTCCATGAACCAACTCACTCTGCCTTTTTCTTTTGGTCGTCTAATTGTTGTTGGTTCTTGTAAAAAAGGTTCAAATTAAAGCTGTTGATCTATTAGCAGTTATTTTTAAATGGAGCATTGAAAAGCTTGAAAATGGTTGGCTGATTACTTCAAGTTATTTATTATGTCTACATGTATGTAGATAACTGGTTGGCCAGTAGCCATCTCTATGCAATAATAATAATGTTTTATCGAAACCCTCATAGGATTACCTTGTAAAAGGTTCTAGGTGGGTTGGTGAAAAGGAGATAAAAATCTAGATACATGAGTGTTACTTCTATCTTATTATGTCCTTCAGCTATGTAGTGGTGTGCATGCTCTTTTCTAAGAAATAATTCTAAAGGTTTGTTGTTTTGGGCTGTGGTACACCTAGCATCTAATATCAAATGCCTTTCTGTTTGTGAGCTGTCGATCACTGATAGGTGTAGACACCTCAATTTGTCTGGGGGTTTACTTGTGATTTTTGCTAATAAAAAATAAAAAATAAAAAATAAAAAAGCTAAAAAAAATGAAAAAATAAGTAGTTGAGTTTGTGTGAATTTGTTGGAATTGGTTTGTAAAGTTGGAGT